ACACACACACACACACACACACACACACACCTGATTCCATAGCGTGTGAACACAGGGATGGAGTCCAAGGCGTCCTTCTCCACCTGTGTGTAGAATCTTTGGAGTTGCACTGGCAGCCACGGGCAGCTGTGTAAACCTTGCTCCACTGGAACACGTGTGTAGGGAATCCTGAAATCTGATAGCACCTGTGCAAACACCTCACGCACTTCTGCAACATACAATACAACACCTGGGTAATGACAAACTGACCCACACAATAATGTCTCTCCTAAAGATAGTAGAGGTATGTGGATGGAGCTACTACTAACAACAGAATTTATTTGTTTGACAAATTCTTTTTAACAGGGTCAAAATGGCTCCTTCATTACTGGCATACATGCAAACATCTGAAGATTGTGGGACATGAGTGTCAGCTAAACTATTAGTGAACCTCCCAGGATCAATAATAAGTACCTCTGGTCATCCAGCATTATACATATTCAAGACTTAAAAGAGATGAGTCAATCAGCAGAAAATGATTGGCATCTATTTAAATTTTTCTCACCTCCCTCATAATATTTTATATCAGGAACAAGATATCCTATTTTATTCCAAAAGATGTTGGGAACTATCCTCTTAGATTCTGCCCCATAAATGGTTATCAGTGGATGAATGTCCAAAAACCATACAGTTTGATTTTTTTTCCCACAAGCTTCTATTACCTGGCAGTACATGGATATGCTGGTGTCCGTCCATGTGATGTGGCAGGTGACCTGTCAGTTCCCTGAATAGCCTGACCTGGGCACTTAATTCCAGCTCCACCTGGGAAGGAAACGCAAGCCTGGAAGTTACTGTAATGGAGAGAACATTCTTCTTCTTCTTGTCTCAGAAACCTCCCACTAACACTAAAGCAGTCTAAGAAATGCATCTGTTATTTAGCATCTGTTATTTAGCCTACTCTCATTGATAGGAAAGCTCCTCTCCTATGGAGTCAGTCGAGAATCTGAATCCCTACAACAACAACAGCGTTCCTATATACAATATGTTCAGGGCACTCACGCTACCGTCAATGGTCAAGTCAGTCAATCAGTTGGGCATAATCTGGCAGGATGCACCTGCTGCTGTTGCAGCATGTGGGGTAAGTGAGGGAGATGTGTCGTGGTTCCATCTTTGCGAATTGTGACCTTAAACTTTGGACCTCTTGACTGCGGTTCCTGTTTGGTATTTCTGTTATTTTTATACGTTTGAAGAAAAAAGCATAACGGAAAACAATCGATAAAGTTCTGTCTCTGTATTGATGCAGAGTTGTCCATGTCTGCATCGCGATGTATCTAAGAATGAATACATTTCCCCACCTCTGTTGATAAGTAAATCCAGGCTTTCCTACTCTAGGTATGAGCCTGTGCACATAAAAGGGGCAGGGTTTCCTGCATATGACCAATCACAAACATGGACAAGTGCACTGGCAGCAGAGTTGCGTATTTCACAATTGAGATGCAAAATATAATATGAGAAAAATGTGAGGTGTAGGTGTAATCTGGTAACACATTATCCGGACTAAAAGGAACTGTTGCAGCAGCCTCATTCAGGAAGGACAGCTGGCAAAAATAACACACATTGTGTGAAAGTGTGAATAGTCAATGTTTTTATAGTAAACTGTCCTATCATTAGTTGTAAACATGGTAGCCGGCAAACAGGCAGTAGCTAGCTAGAGTTAGCCGAGGCCTACTTGGAGTGCAACAGTAACATAACAGATTAAACAATCATTAATCCATCTCCACAATTTACCAGTGCTCAATAGTTTGAGATCGATTTGAAGTGATGAAAAGACCTTGATACAGTAAAGGCTGTAATAACAGTTTGTCCCTTTAAGCTTTTTTAAGCCTTGTGCAGCACAAAATTTAAACACAATTTAAAACTGAATAAATGTGAAATCAGTGTTGAGAGCACTGACCACTGTCATCAACTGTCCCAAACTGTTGTAGTTTGATATATGAATTGAAAACCTTATTTTGTAAATGACAGCACAATTGTGAGAACAGTAACAGTCTACGCTACTTTTTAAAGCACTTTCTAAATAAAAAGTTTCATATTTGACTGATTTCATTAACTGATATTAACTGATGAAAAAGCAGCCATGTGCAGTAATGTAGGAAATTGTGGATGTGATACATTGAAATACATCAAGATGCATTATTGTTTCCTCTGTTGTTGTCTGCTCTTGTGATAAACCTAGTGAATACCAGTGAAGACCATTGTCTCTGTGTGAACTCTTGAGTATTTAACAATTGCGGGAGTGTTCTAAATTCAATTGTTAAGTAAGTCAGAGATGTTCTGCTTTTATAAATAATTATGAGAAGTTCCCTTTTCTCACTTGAGCCCATGCCTCCCAAAATGTCTATGCACGTCCCTGATGAGAGTGTTCAAAATGGAGACCTGAAAGGGAAATACTGAAAAAACATAATATGTCTCCTTCAAGACCAGTTTGTTTTGGTAAATTCAAGACACTAATGCTCACAACTTAATTACGCTATGCATTTCAGGAATGGACACAGATAATAGCTGATGCTAACAAGAACAATTTCATTAAAGGAACCACAAGGGGTTTTAGGTCTCAGTCTTTGTTTACAAACACTGATGTCTAGACCTAGAGCTCATCACAGTAAGGTGCAGACCGTTCTTTCTTCCAAGGGAATTCACAACAATTACAATTATGGCAGTATACATTCCCTCACCAGCTAAGGCTCAGGTAGTGCTTGAAAAGTTGCATGACGTCATCAACAAACAGCTGACAGCTCACTCAGATGGCGTGATCATCATAGCAGGGGACTTCAATCATGCAGATCTCAAACTGGTCAAGCCGAAACATCATAGAAATGTGAGTTTCCCAACCAGAGAAAATAATAATGACAATCATACAGCAACAAAAAGATTAATTAGCTCGTCACTATGTACACTGCAAACACCTTTGTGTTTTTTCCCCACTCCCTTCTTAACAAATGTATGGAAGCGTATTGCATTCACTTGAAAAAAACCGCAAAAAAGCTCTGTTTTTCTGAATTTTCTGAAAGTTTTCATGGAAAAAAAAGAGGAAGCAGTTTTTCTGAATAAACGTGATACCTCAGTCCTGCCAGAAGCTGTCACACTTCCATACAAATGCACATGCTGGAAATACCGAGGTTTTTATGAAAGGAAACAGTGGAAACACTACCACTTTTGTCCAAAGAGGCGCTAAAATCGAATTTCCTTTTAGGGGCTTTAACACACTGATCTTGAGAGAAGGATACTTTATTCCAAAAAGAGTTGAATAAATAACTATTGTGTGAATTAATTCACACAGCAACAACACATTGTAACTTTTACTATGCAATAGCTCCCTCTGCAGCCTCCATTTTGATTAATTCTGTTGGGCTCCTTCTCAAAGACACACTAGAGCTCAGAGTACATAGTCCCACTCACTGAACTGAAACACAACTGAATCATGGATATTACCCATGATCCCTGGCTTCCTAAACCAGAAGAGCTGCTGCTGTAACATTAAACCAAACTCTGTTCTTCATATTAATACGTTTTCTTGCTGATTGTTGGAGATAAATGCTGGTCTTCTTAGTCTTTTAACTGATCTACGGTTCAGCATTACTCTTGAACTTGCTTGGTCTGATTCTTAAAATTTAAGATGCAGGTTTAAGTCAGTAGTCATTTCTCACAGGAGACTGTACTTGTTCACCAAAGTGCGTGTAAGGACAAACAGGGTGAGAAGTGGGAATGCAAGCAGCAGCAAAATACATGCATACACCATATCTAGATGAGTTCAAGCCAGTCACAAACTGGGCTGTAGCATAGTGTACCTGTTTCATGCTGAGCTGACCTCTCTCCAGGGCCTGACGAAAGCCCATCTTCCCATGAAAGAAGCCATGGTGGTTTATCAGAGTGGAGGCCTGCTGGACACTCTGACACACTGGAATGCCCTCTGACAGGTTAGCATGGAGGCCCATGGGTATGTTGTGTCTGACTCAAAAAGAGGAAGAAAAGATACTTATTCAACAATGTCAATTTATGTCTTCTTCTTTGATTAAATAAAGAGTGCACCCCCCAAATACAAAACAAATACATCCATGCCTGCGGCTCTGTCACAGAGAAGCAGGCCTATGGCAAGCTGTTTTAACATTTATTTCCCAAGTTTAAGCTTGAATTAAGACTAGCCGGAATTAAATTGTAGATATCTGAAACTGTTGGTTGCAGTCCTAAATGAGAGTAGGAATTTTCATATACAATACAATATACCAAACTATACTACCTTTTAGCCAGATCAGCTGCCTCTTTTGCAGCAGTGGCGTTAACCAGCAGTGACACATTGGAAATGCCTCCAGCCTTGTAACAGTCCACAATTCCCTGGTTCCTCCTGGGACAGTAACCAAAATCATCTCCAGTCACCACCAGCATCATTCTGGGCTGTGGCATGATTGCTGGTCTCTGTGGAGGACAAAAAGGATAAATACTCACTGCCCTCCATGATAGCCTACTGCTATTAGTGTTTGTCTGAACGGGTGAATGAGAGGCACATCGTTCGTACTTTGGATAAAAGCAGAAAGCATACATACATTTACCATTCTGTTCATCACAACAGGAAACGACAACCAGTCAGTGCAACACACAAATCTTACGATCAATATTTAAGTAGTATTTCAGTGTGCTTTTAAACTACAATCAACTATTCGTCTAAATTCAATGATAAAAAGCAGATGACTCTCAAAGCTCAAAAATGTGTTTCTACCTTGCACATGGAAGACAATTAAGAAATAGCACCTTTCATGATGTTTTACTAGCTAACTAACTAACCAGCCATTTTAGTTAAAACTGATGCTGCTGTGATGCGTGGCTAACATCAAGAAAAGATGAGATACGATATGGAGAAATACACTATATTGCCAAAAGTATTGGCTCATCTGTCTTGACTCGCATATGAATTTAAGTGACATCCCATTCTTAATCCATGGGATTTATTATGATGTTGGTCCACTCTGCAGCTACAACAGCTTCAACTCTTCTGGGAAGGCTTTCCACAAGGTTTAGGAGTGTGTTTATTGGAATTTTTGACCATTCTTCTTATATTTCCAAAGGTGCTATTGACATTCAATTTTCATCGGATGTTGGTAACAACCCCAGGTAGTCCATACATACAAAGAAACAAAAAACAAACAAGTTGAGAAATTCAGTTATGTGTAATAATATGAAAAGACACAGGGAAAAAGTATTGAACACATGAAGAAAGGGGGATGCAAAAAGGCATGGAAAGCCAAGACAGCTGAAATCTATCAGAAATTAGAATGCAATCCAGCCCCTTGTCAGTGCAGATGAATATCAGCTGGTTCAGTCCCAATTGATGGCCTATAAAAAGGTCTCATTACCAAGGTATCACACAAGAAATGTCAAGTTGGGTAACGAAACGAGCTCTCTCAAGACTTTATTGTTGCAAAACATACTGAAGACATTGATTACAGATGCATTTCTTAACTTCTGCATGTTCCAGTGAGCACTGTTGGGGCCATAATCTGGAAGTGGTAAAAACATAATTTCACCATAAACTGGCCACGACCAGGTGCTCCTTGCAAAATTCTGACAGAGGAGTGAAAAGAATTATCATAAGAGTTGTCCAAGAGCTAAGGACCACTTGTGGAGAGCTTCAGAAAGACCTGGAATTAGCAGGTACAATTGTTTCAAAATAAACAATAAGTAATGCACTCAACCACCATGGCCTGTATGCACGCTCACCATGCAAGACTCCATTGCTGAAGAAAAAGCATATTGAAGCTCGTTTAAAGATTGCTGAACAACATTTGGACAAGCCTGTGAGATACTGGGAGAATATAGTCTGGTCAGATGAGAGCAAAATTGAACTCTTTGGATGCCATAATACCCACCATGTTGGGAGGAAAAATGGCACTGCTCATCAACCTAAAAACACCATACCAACAGTGAAGTTTGGAGGTGGGAACATCATGGTGTGGGGCTGCTTTTCAGCATACGGTACTGGCAAACTTCACATAAATGAAGGAAGGATGAATGGAAAAATGTACCGAGACATTCTTGATAATAATCTGCTGCCATCTACCAGGATGATGAAGATGAAACGAGGGTGGACATTTCAGCAAGACAATTATCCTAAACACACAGCCAAGGAAACTCTCAACTGGTTACAGAGAAAAAAAATAAAGCTGCTCGAATGGCCCAGCCAATCACCTGACTTGAATCCAATTAAACATCTATGGAAAGAACTGAAGATCAGAGTTCATAGAAGAGGCCCACGGAACCTTCAAGATTTGGAGACTGTTTGTGTGAAAGAATGGGCCAAAATCACACCTGAGCAATGCATACGACTAGTTTCTCCATACACGAGGCGTCTTGAAGCTGTCAGTACCAACAAAGGCTTTTGTACAAAGTATTAAATAAATAACAGTAAGCGTGTTCAATACTTTTTCCCTGTGTCATTTCAAATTATTACACATAGCTTCTTTTCTCTTTCCTGAACTTATTTGTTTTGGTTTCTTTGTATGTATGGATTACTTGCGTTGTTACCAACATCTGGTGAATATTCCATGTCAGTAGCACCTTTGGAAATATATTAACTAAGAAAAATGGTGACGTGTTAAATACTTATTTTACCCGCTGTATATACATAGACTTTTTGAACTTTAACAATTACATTTTAAACAAATATTCAAATCTTTTACAAGCAACTTTGATGTGTTCTTATTGATGTGTTAATTGTTTTCATTCTTCTACAGCCCCGCAGAGCACACAGTGGCTTTGTGTCTGAACGGTGCTGTGTAAATACACTTATCATGACGCGATGTTTACACGCCGGCTACGTGTCCTGTGTAGTTACAGTTCCTGGAACACTGCCGGCAGGAGTGGACTGGCTCCTGAGGCTACAAGAAAACCATCCTGTTATGAATTTCTAATTATACTAATTCTTACCCATTGTATCACACACGTTGATCCATATACATCCGAAGTCACACAAGCACGAAGGAAAAAGGCGATATTTCCGAAGACCGAGTAGCACTAGCTATCCTTCTACTGCTGCTGCTGGTGGTGTTGTTGCGTCTTCTTCTTCAGAGAAGTTTCAGCCGCTGACATCCACTTGGTTGCATTACTGCCATCTCCCGGAGTCAGTCACCTACTGATGGTTTCGGTCCCAACCATCAAACCAATTTCCGTCAGTCCTGTTTCTCGCGAGAGGTTTGTTAACAGTAACTACTCGATGTGTGCTGCTAAGGTTGGTCTGTCCTCCTCTTTGAGCCTCCTCTCCAGTTTCACTACCTTATTTTAATAGAATGCAGACGTTTGCCCTCTGTCTGCAGCTTGTCCCTATGTTGTTGCTGTACTTTGTTGTCCTCATTTAGTTATTTTACAGTTTCAGCATTTGGGTTGTACTTCTCCACACCTAGCACACATTATTTTCTCAACACACTTTTGATACTTGCCCAAAATCTTGAAATTTCAACCACCTTGAGAGTTTTGTAAAAGATTACCTTTAACTATATTCAACAAATCCACTTTTTGTTTTCTTGCTAGCAGCTTTTATTATGCATTTTATTACACACATCTGTCTGCGTAAATGTTGTATTTTTTAACTTTTATCATATCACCAGTCCCCATGATATCAAACCTATGAAAATAACAACAATTCATGCTTTATTGTCCAAATAAAATTTGTTGATAGTCCTGTCCCTCGAAGTGAGCGGTTAGGGTTCAGCTCCTAGTTATGGTCCTTCATCCACTGCTCAGTCCACTGCACTATCTGCTCCAGGTTGCGCTCCAGGTCTTCAGGAGTGTTGCTGGGCAGTTGGTGGACAATATCCTCACTGTAAGCTTCAATGGCTTCCTCATAGATGGTCTGGAAGATCTCACACTGCACGTTGTCCTGCAGCTTCTTCCCTGTGTAACCCCTGTTAGTCACAAAGAGGACACCACAGAGAGGGGCATAAACAAGAGCAACAGAGACAAGCAGACACACACAACGCAGAGTTTTATCTTCATTGTTGCAGAAGAAACGATGCCCAGTCTATCCAGGAACATGAGAATATGAATTCAGCAGGTTATTATAAAAGATCAGTTCTTCAGGTGATAGATTACAAAAGAGTAGAGGAGCAGACACTCCTGTTGACCGGCACAGAGTAAGGCACATCAATGCAATGGCGCTGCCGAGAGGGGGGCCAGTGGGGCCACCCTGATACTGTAAAGGCTAAAATATGATTTTTACACTGTTTAATCTCTAGTTGACACAGTCAGTGGAAACCAGTGACTAGCCATTGTTAAATGGTACATGCAGTTTAAAAAAAGGGGCAATTGACAGTGCTATGTGTAAAGTGTTATGCCAGGGAAACAAAAGTGAAAGTCGTTTTTTAGTGTCATATACACATTGATAAGCAGTGGTATTACTATTTTTTATCTTAGCCTCTGGCTAATAGTCCATAGGCCTAAAGTCAGATTGGAGTCATACATGAATTGAGAGATTAAAGATTAAGAGGAAATAAATGAAAGTTACCTGCCCTCCAACCGACTGTACAGCTGAGTGTTGTCTGTGCGCAGGACAAAGACAATATGAAACCAGCGTTCAGGAAACAGGTCACAGCCATGATAGTCAACAATCACACCACCATCTACCATCTTTTCATCCAGTTCATCCACCACCTACAGGATAAAGCATCACAATATTTACATCCAGCCAACTTAATTCTTGAGTTTTAATTTACCCTCATGTTGGTGTCACATGACTAATGGTTCCACTAAGATGCTTGTTTTGTGACAAAAGATTGAATGCATTGTCTCACTCACCCGGTCCTCATCTAAAATTGGGCACTTATACTCTTCGTCATAACCATCATAAAGTTGTCCTGGGGAAAGAAAATCTAATCATCAGAACAGCCACAGGAAACTATGCCATCTATCTGCAACCTGCCTGCTGTCAATAAATCTTAATACAAATCATTCAAAACCTGAATGAAGATCCAGAGCAGTGCAGTAGGACAAGAACAGTAAAATGCTTTTGATTTGTGGTTTAGATTAGTTTAGGATCCCTATTACCTACAGCCTTGTAGAAGCTATTCTTACAGGGCTTCTACAGGGTATACAGGGATACTTCAGGGTTTCTGCAGGTACCAGCAAATCTAATTTAATGCTTTTTAATGCCCTTTTTAATGCCATTTCAAAAATGTTTAATGCCCATGACTAACTGCAAATATTATACGTGTGCATACTTACCTATATACACGCACACAAAATATCCATATCCAACTCTGAATTAAATTGCAAGCATTTCATTTGAAAATGATAATATAAGATATTTGAGAATCTAAATAATTGACATAAACTGTCACTCTATAAAGAATTTGAAATGGCTCATGAGACAGCTTACAATGTCAAAATTTATTTGCACATATTTAAAAAATTCAAATTTCAAAAAGTACCAGAATCCATCAAGCTTATGTTTGTGGAAATTGTCCTGACACTGAATACACAATGCACAATTTGATCTCTCTGGAGAGCGAAGGAAAAAACTGAAACTTTCAACTTAAAGGCTGGAACATAACGTTTGCATTAAGTTCAGTACTTGACGTAACAAAGAAATCACTGGGATTTAACTTTGAATGATAATTAGTGCATGTGCCTTAGTTCGTTCGCTTTTAGTTCCAACTCTGTCTCAACATTTTTCAGTTCAAGGAATTTGTTTTCTTGTATCTCCTCAGAGTATTAGATTTTGTGATCATCTGAGCCATGAGTGTGCCAGATTTGTTTTCGGCCTTCTAAGCGAGTTGATCAGCATCCTTCTGAAGGCTGGCGCACACCTCCGTCAACACTGCCTTTTTCTTTTCAGTTCTCCCAGCTCATCTTCCAATGCTTTTTTCTTAAGTCCGTGCATGGCACCCTCTTTCTTCCTCCTTTCTTCATCAAGGTAGATCCTATATTTAAAGTATTTTTTAAATTTTTTAATGCCTCTGGAAATCTAATGTAATGCTTTTTAATGCCATTTAAGGCCTTAATTTTAGCTAAATGTATTTAATGACTTTTAATGCTTTTTTAATGACCCACAGAAACCCTGTACTTCATCCAAAAATGAAAATTCACTCATTATCTGTAGGGGTAAGTGAAGTGTTTGAGTCCACAAAACACTTTAGTTTAGTTTAAACAAGGGTAAAGAGCATTGCAGCCAAATCCAGAGTTCAAATGACACAGTTTCGAGTTGAATTTGAATTTCGGGGCTTACGAACACTTGGATAACACCACAGGAGCTGTATGGAGAAGAATCGGTCACCATTTTACTTACATTTTATTGGATTTGGCTGCAATGAGGTTTACCCCTGAAACTCGAAAAACTGTTTTGTACACTCAAACACTTCACCCACCCCTCGGTCGACATGGTGGTGAGTTGATAATGGGTACATTTTTATATTTGGGTGAACTACCCCTTTAAAACAGATTTTGATGATGCAACCATTACAACATATCACATTAACATTATACACACACACACACACACCTAACAATTCAAATCATGATCTGTTTGTTTCACATTGGTTTTCAAAACATTATCAAAATACATGAAAATAGCCAGTTCACTCTCACTCAGTTCCAATACATCACAACAGACCAGTTCATTCATGTTTCCAACACATTCCACACTAGTATTCAATGTAATAAACAAAACATGTGAATACAGACCTATTCACTCAAATATTCACACAATTCAGACAGACCCTCCGTAGCTTCAATCAGTGTTAGATGTTAGTATCAGTGTGTGTTTCAAAAAGTTAGTTGAAAGGAGTTCAGTAAATTAGTTGACGATTTTACCTTCCTGAGCAAGGTCTCCGATATTGACATAAGTCAGCTCTGTTCGCTGGGCTAGTTCCTTTCCTAAAGTGGTCTTTCCAACACCAGGGGTTCCTATAAGGCAGAGGATCAACATTGAGGTTGTAATGCATACTGCATCATCTGGTGAGATCTGATCAGGCTGTTGAGCAGTGCCAATGACTCAGTAGTGAAGGTGCAACTACCCACTTGGTTTTTAATAATCATTTACTGTTAGAAATGAGGTGCTGTTGATCTTCAGCTGCTGTCCCAGAGAAAACCATAGGACTTCCAGGTTATACTCTGCTGCCAGATTTGGTTTAAATATACTGATGTCGCTGATAACATGCTGTTTTATTGATTGTCACTATTAATCATCATCATTTAGATAAAGGTAATTTATAGTATCGTCTCATCCATTTATCATTTGGTCAATTAAGCACCCAAACAAATATGATAATTTACTGCAATAAAAAAAACGATGCTCACAGTGTAGACTCTTTATTGGTGTTTGTAATTAGATTAATAACTCACATTGTATTTGATCCTGGCAACAGTGATCGGCCTGCGAACCTAATAAGTACAGCACTGACATACTTTTAAAGACTGAGCAGTTGAAGAGACTGTCACCTGTTAACAGAACGTTCGGACGCTTCCTCATCTTCATGCCTGACCAGCAGCCGACACGTGTCTTGGCGTTCTACCTGAAAGACACATCCATCTGTCAGCTCTGCCTGCCGGCGCACACGGTCTCTGAAGCGTTTCAATCGAAATATGAGACAAACCTGATTCAGAGGAGCCAGATGAGGAGGATAACTTGGTTTGCGAGAGAGATGGAGCAAATCGACACACAAACACAGCAGCACTTTGACGTTTTACGGCACTTTTACGCCACCTTTACGGCAATCACTACAAACTTTACGGCATTTCGAGTTTAAATATGTAAACTCGGTTTCACAGGTTTTCTAACGCCACTCTGTTCAAACAGTAGATCACCCGAACAAGGATACCCAGGGACGAAAACATCGAAGTCTGCTTCTGACAGCAAATGGTCAAATAAGGTGAGTTAGCTTCACATGGGGGAGTGAACACATCCCAAAGAGCAGCCAGTCCAACAAGCGTTTCTTATCGTCGAAACACATTCACATACGTTCAAATTGATGTTTTTGGTATGTATGTATTTTATGTGTGTGTGTGAGAGGAAACCTCAAACACACAGCAGCCTGTGGTCCCGCTGTACACTGAGCAGTATGTCCTGTCTCTGCACAGCCAACAGCTTCAGCAGCAGCACCAGCTCTTCACACCAGGTCTTCCATGAACTGCTGTTAAGTGTGAATGATGAACAAGCTTTCTGTTGGAGATAAAACAGCTTCTAGTAGAGTAAGTTCTTTCCCATACTTACGTTATGTGTTTTTTTTCAGTAGGCTATCTGACAAGTACATTTTGATTACTGTATTTTAACAGGAAGTTTTTTCTATAATTTTGTCCACCCACTGTTGTCCGTCACAGTAGAGCAAATAACAGAAACTGAACATTTGGAGGATTTTGCCCACTGAGTGTATGTATCATACGATAGACACAGGGTCATGAGACACAATGCTGAAGGACAGAAGATATTTCTAGTCAATTTTACAGTTTCCAAATAGCTTTTCCTCTAATTAGTTTCTTTCAGGAATAGCATAATTTCTTCCTATATGTCAGTTGCCAGTAGTAAAGTACCTTGTCTTCACTGAGCACACAGGGAGCTTTGCTTTCACCCTGTAAGTTACATTTAACATCTGGTACTGCCATGTAATGTTCTCTATTGTGCCTGTAATTCACCAGCCTCCTCTCACTGTAGATATCCACCCCCAGTTGTTCTTTTAATCTTTAAAAAATGTGTTTTGTTTGTTATTCATAATAGTTGAACCACTGGGTGGATCCGTCTTTCACTGATCTGGCAGCAGAAAGCTTTTCTCTGCCTGGAAGGTGTAAGGTTTCGTGCTCCAAGGCTGAGCCCAAGAGGGCGAGGAAGAGGAAAGGAGAGGACAGCAAGCGGGACCCTGTCACAACTTACCTGCTGAAAGAGCCAGCCCAGAGGAACCAGTATGAGCCCTGGGTGAACAGATATATGCCCTGTTCACAGGTCAGCATCATCACAGTTTGGTTGTTCTGGTATCTGTGAATATGTTCTGAATCCAAATGGCCACACAGTGGATCAGCAGATGGTGTTGGGTGGTGGGCCACATGGGTTAAAATGCACAATGAGACATAACTTAAGACTTCACTCGTTGCTGTGGACACTAACAAATGCCTACATCTTGACTGCATAGTCCTTAAAAAAGTCTTTCTCCTTCTCACCAAGTCTAAACAGGACTCACATGTATAGTTTATTTGCAAGCCTAAATCTATAAATATGCATAAATACACACTGTCTTAAAGTATGATATATAAATAAGATACTTCTTAACATTAACCCATAAAATCCTTATTTAAGGCTTAGCAACCTCAGTATATAAATGGTGGTATACATCAGCATCTGTCATCATATCTCCCACTAATTTGCTCTAACTTCTCTGTAGAGTAGTTTGCAACATGTTATTATGATTGCCCCTGGAGCTGTAGGTTTAATTAAAGCAGATGTGACGTGCATAGCCAGGACATCAGGGTTAAAATGACCAGAACGATCCGGATTCATGATCTGACATTATCGATTAACAACTAAATAAATGTGATTATCAGTTTGTGTGAGAAGAATGACAGATATGAGCAGACACACACACACACAGGAGAGTTATTCCTGCAGATTGTTGAGCTGGGTTCCTTTTAACTTTATTGTTGCAGAAGAATCAACATCCATCTTATACAGGAACATAAATATCAATTCACAATGTTGGTATAGAGATCAGCGCTACATGTGAGTCATTAGAAAACAGCAGAGGAGCTAAATCAGTAGCAAGGAGTGATGCACCTCAATGCATTTGGGCTGCCAGGGGGGGTAGTGCTTCAAAGTGGAGAGCATCAAAATAACCAAGTCACTATTGATGGGGCTGCCCCGCTGCAAAAAAAAAATGGGAACACTAATATGTGTTTGTGTAGGCTGAGCTAGCTGTCCACAAGAAGAAAATCGAGGAAGTCGACAACTGGATAAGAGTCCACACAAACTCGTCAAAGGTAATTTGAAGTTTCATTTTTCATTAGATTGAACCTTGACCCCCAGACTTGTCCCCTAACCTTTGCCATTGAGCAATTTTTGCCCTAGTTATGATATGTTAATTTAGCGATTTTCCTTCCTGGTAAACAATATGAAGAAATACCTATAACGAGTGAAAAACTTGGTTGTCATAAGCAAGTCAGTCATTTGATGAGTCCTGTTTGGAGACCACGACACATCAAGAATTAATCTTGCAGACTGAGCTATCATTATATTATGTAATTATATTAACATTTTATTTGTGGAGGTGTTTAGTGAGATGGCATGTTCAAGTTTAGCCTGCCGGTTGTAATTTACAGGGTGGTATCTTACTGCTTACGGGACCATCTGGCTGTGGAAAGACTACAACAGTCCAGGTTTTGTCTCGGGAGCTGGGCTTCAGGATTCAGGAGTGGATCAACCCCACCAACCTGGAGCCATACAGCAGCATTCAGGATGGTCAGGAAAATCCCTCTCCATTACCTGTGTCATACTGCACCTGTCAGTGTCAGTGTGATTGATACAGTCCCATCCAAAATATTGGGTGTGAAATGCCAGTTTGTTTCTTTTGTACATTGAGACAATTCAAGAGCAAAAGATGAATATGAGACTAAAGTTAAGAATTTTAGTTTTAATATCTGCATATTTATAGCCTGATGCATCAATTAAACAATACAGCCCAGCACCTTTTGTATTATGCTGGCCCATGTTTAGGTGAATAATGAAGAAGCAAATCTTAAAGCAACTAAAAGTAAATGATGTGTCATAATTGGTTGAATAACTCAATAAGTGCATCAAGCCTGTGACCTACTGACATCATCAAATGGTTGCTTTCTTCATTTGTAAAGCTCCTCCAATCCTTTGTCGCATCACTTCAGTTTGTCCCAGGGGTTTCTCCGTCAATCCCCTCTTCAGGCCTCTGTTACAGATGAAGTCCGTTGTTGTGTTTGGTCGTTGTCTTGCTTCACGATGAAGTTTTGATGATCTCTCTGTAAAGTGGCAGACAGAAAGTTTCTTTCATCCGTTTTACTGCTACATCATCAATGATCTCTGAGGATGTTTTAGAAGCTGCCATGACACCACCTCCACCGAGCTTCACTGATGAATTTGTATATTCTGGATGCAGATTATTTCTTCATCTTGGTCTCATCAGTTTTTTTCAGAGCTTTTGTAGCATCTCTTGTTCAAATGGTCCTTCAGATTCTTACTGCTAGTCCTCAAAGGTGAAAACCAAGAGCAGAGACATTCAGAGCTATTTGGCGTTTAAACAATCAATCTTCTGTCATAGACATGTTCCACTATTTCTGGTCACTTGAAATATGGGTGGGTTCAAACACAACATGCTATGTCTCAAATTGTTTAACAACTCAGGACAACTTTAAAAGCAGATGTTTTGATATTGATGAAGTCATGTGACTAAACACTCACAGAGGTGTATATCAAATGAGGAAGTTTCCCATCTAGGTCATCCCAGTGACTCCTCTGAACTCTTTGTTTCATATACATCTTTTGATCTTAAACATTAATTTCTTCAATTTACAACTAAAGGAAACTTGCCTTGCTATTCCAATGGTTTTGGAGGTGACTGTGAATGAAAATTACATTCTTGATGTGAAACTGACCAGAAAATTGTTTTCTTTTGTTGGTACTGAGTCAGAGCGGTTGGCACATATGTATTGATCTGCTTTATTACTTTTATTGCATTAACTGCTTTATTATTTAAAGGTGTTTCTAATATTTTATCCACCCAGTGTTTGTAAATTGGGATGAATGCTTTTAAAGTATTTATTCCTCCCCTCAGGCCACAGCCAGTTGCCGGATGCATTATGTTTTGAACACGGTATCTCAGGAACACATTGAGGGAATTTCTTCAACTTTGGCAGAATCATTCACATGGGCTCCAAGATAAAATAATTTGATGTGAAATTAATTTTATTTTTGTTTAACTGAAGACATTCTATTTAAAGCTGGCAGTTACTTATCATAATCATATGTCAATATAGTGATACGTCACATTTCACCAAAAAATAATAAAATTCAGTTTAGTCAACTATGGCATATTATATGGAAAAAAATGACATAGACTGAACCTTCACTGGGTGGTAGAGGCATACAATGCAGGCCAGTAATTCTAGTTGGGTGAGTGCAGACAAAATGTTCTCATGCGATAAATAATCTCAGGTACAGAGAACACTCTCAAGTGTCAGGATGCAGGCTCTCTACTCTGCTTTTCTGATGTGACTCTGAGTTTCCATTTTTCAGAATGGAGAATGAATGGATTCCCCTGCAGCTCCCAGTCAGCCCAGTTTCAGGAGTTCCTCCTCAGAGCCAACAAGTACAGCTGCCTGCGAATGAAGAATGATGATGGAGCGACAGAAAAAAAGCTCATACTGGTGGAGGTATGTACTGTATCTTCAAATTAAGCCACTGTTCACCCCAGTATGTCAATTCTACTCATTTTGGAAGCTCAGCACAACAGCTAGTAATATTTAGCAATTAACTGAGTTTAAAGATAATATATGCTGTGGCCCTTTCCTGCTCCAAGTCTGTTTACCGTGGGGACGGTAGTTACACAGTCCACTGAGCCAGGGAGTGAGAGTACATTTTAGTACATTAATTTAACATGTGACAATAACATTGCCACATTGACAATAGCAAACACTTGTATACTGCTACATCTGAAATGTGCTTAGTTCAACTCTTTGCATTCCTCATGCCATGTGACATTTATCTTGAGATGATGAACAAGTAAAATTTTCTGGCATGCTAAAAGTGTACGGTAAAAATTCCACTCTGTCTGAAGATTTGCTCTTAACATGCCAATATGATTAAAGCTGGTTAGTAATGACTTTTGAATATTCGACTCATAATGTCACTTTTAGTACATTTTGAGTTAATTACCCAGCAGTATTTTGGCTCCAGTTGTGCCAGATTGGTTAACTACTGTTGGAAACGTGATCTAGACGGCTTCTAATCTTTCAAGTTACTGTTCAAAATAAAAATAATTGGGTGCAGAAATTTCCAAATGTATATGCTACTGGTGGAGAGATGAAGCTGCTGTAATATTTTGTAAAACCACTTTTATCACGGTGATGTCTACAATATAATGAATGGTTGATTATGTCATTAAAAAACTGTCGCTCTTTAATTTGATCAATGATAGATGCCAAGAATTGATACACAAAGAAACAGGAAAAGACTAAACTCATTACCATGCTAGATTGCATTTAAAGCTAATAGACAGGTCTAATGCTTGTTTGTTTAGACTATATGTGTAGGCTATACACCTGAGTTAACACCCAATCATTCCTCTCTTAGGATTTCCCAAACCATTTCTACAGGCAGCCTGGCAGCCTGCACGATAACCTGAGGTGAGAGCAGGTCAGGTTTCACCCTGCATTTCGTCACATTTCCTAAATACCAGAAGAAGTAACTGTAGTGATACACAGATATGAACCCAGACTTAAAAAGTAACGATAGGGAAATTGTGACCAAGAACCAGTTCTCCTGCTTTAACTTGGTAATGATGGGAGGTCTTGAGGCCTTTCTTGATGCTATTTCATGTCATGTTTCATCCTCAACATCAGGAACCGGTAGGCTTGATGAAAGTCTTTCCACGGAACAGAGTGTTTATTGATGCTTTCAGTGCTAAGAGCTATTTACTGCATTCATGTGTATAGTATTGTATACAGTGTGTGTTATTTTGTCTTCCAGGCACTTTGTGAAGACCACTCGAAGTCCCTTGGTGTTCATAGTGTCAGACAGTCAGAGTGGAGACCGCAGCTCACGCTTTCTTTTTCCCAGAGAGATCCAGGAGGAGCTGGACATCAGCACCATCAGGTTCTAAATGAGGCCCACTGCTGTCCATGACAGGGAAACCCACATTAGAGCCCAGAGAACAATGTTAGAGACAGTTCAGTCCCTGCTGTCAACTGATGAGGGAAACATTCTCATCTTCATTCGTGGCCAGATTTACTGAGAACATGGTGTTGCATGGCACTCTTGGGCCAGTTTTGGTTCCAGATTAGTCACAGGTCAGAGGTCTAAGACTTAAAGGTAAAGTTAACTGAAAAATTAAAATTCACTCATTATCTACTCACCACTATGCCGAGAGGGACATTTTCCACGACAAGGCGGAAGTTAATCCTAAATTTCACCTCTTTTACCCATTAAACAAAATCTCCTCCTGTGAAGAGACAAACCTGCTGCTCTCTAGGGCTAAAGGTGGTTTATAGCTGTGCACATAGGGATCAATAGCGCTCTGGCTTTCCTAATTCAATTTAGCTCATTGATCAAATGAGAGAGAATCAGGCCTATACTTCAACTTTCCCCTATTTTGTGTATTTCATCATATTCAATTAGCCCTGCTGAATTTACCTGAAGATGCTTTGTATGTTCTTTGTTTCCAGTTTTAATCCAGTTGCTCCAACCATGATGATTAAAGTCCTGACCCGCATTTCAACACTGGAAGCAGCAAAGGTGAGAGGAGGCTTTACAGTAGTTTACACATTTTGCCTTATTTTATATAAAGTTTGTTTTACCATAATTCCACACAGAGCTGCGGAAGAATGAGTGTACCAGAAAAGGGTGTGTTGGAGATGCTCTGTATGGGAAGCTCAGGAGATATTCGCAGTGCAATCAACAGCCTGCAGTTTTCTTCCCTCCCAGGTCTGTAAATCCACACATCTCACCTCACCACATCGTACAGTGGAATTAAATACAAAACCCTTTTGATCTTCCTCACCTCATGACCTTTTCTCTCTGTAACTCTCCAGACACATCCTTGGAAAAGGAGCTGTGGAGGATGAAAAAGGACAGGCCTGTGATTTCAATGAGCAAAGTTGTTTCCAGAACAAACAAGAGGAAGAACAAGTCCAAACAAACAAAGGAGCAGGAAGAGGAACAGGCTATTGGAGTTAAAGATGCTTCTTTGTTCTTGTTTAGAGCACTGGGAAAGATCCTGCACTGCAAACGTGAGTCATATCTCCCAGTTACCATAGTCTTTCTTCTGTATTGTTCATTGTAAGATTTACTGAAAATAGTCCCCAACTATTGCACTATTGTCAGTTTTTTTTACTTGTCAGCGGATTTGTTGATAATGAGCCTTATTTCTTAGGGTTTGATTTCAGACATCGTCATCTACCTACCTATTTTACATATCTTGTGAACTGTTCATTTCATGAACGACACATGACACGCATGTGTATTGTTGGGGGCCAAAGGAAGTGCATTGTGAAGTTTGGGGTGATTTGGACAAGAGATATATATTCAATATGAATCAAAATTGAAATAAACAGATGATGCTTTGTAGCAGTCAGTGGGGGCGGGGCAGTGTGCTAACAGTCCCTCCACGAGGTGTGTTGAAAATCTTTTCCTCTATATCCTTGGTTAAACTACAGCTGTGGTCAGGACCTGGCAGCCTTTGGCCATATCTGTCCTGCTTGATCATTTACATAATACAAATCTTTCCCACTATATCAGACTGATACAGATATTCATGGGGGTCACTGGTGTGTCTCTGGTGTGTTCTGTGGTGGTAGGAATTTGTCCTTAAAGTAAAAGCACAAGTAACAACCTTTATTGGAGTAGATTGTGATTGCTTAACACCACAGTCAGACCTGTGAGATAGATGACTTTTAATGTATGAAAACATAACACCAGTTATGTAAATAATTCAAACTTATATATGAACCACACACATTAATAGTAATAAAGCAAATTCAGTTTCAGTTTATAAAAATCATTGACGAAAAAAATCTTCAACGCAGGTAAATCAGGTAGGGTAAACACAAAGATTTCTAACTTCACTCTGCAGTAGGCGATGCATTACCTCAGGCCCGGCAAACAGCTTATTCCAAACAGGCAGGATTAGAACAGGCACTGCACTAGTCAACTATAATTTTTTAAAACATCTGATCACTGATGAGAATAACTGCTGCACTGTTGCTTTGATTTATACTTGTTCAGTATTAGTAACTGACGCTACTGAGGCAAATAGTTTGTTTGGTTGTTTATCATCAACAGGGGGGGACCATGAAGCAGCTGAAGTTGCCCCTGCACCTGCTCTATCATCTCAACTTTCACATCACCACAGAAAAACATTATTAGTAGACCCTGAGGTAAAAAGCTTTTTCTCTCGCTAAAAGGTAACAGCCATTTTTAATCAATCTCCTTTTAATCTTTGGAACACTCAAAACTTTTTTTTAATCTGTTTTTAGTTGGTTGTTGAACGTTCACACATGTCTGGCGAGTTCTTCAACTTGTACCTCCACCAGAACTACCTGGACTTCTTTTCTGAGGTGGAAGATGTGGCCCGAGCCAGCGAGTATCTATCTGATGCTGACCTCCTCACTTCTGATTGGACGGTCAGTCTTTCCCGAGACATGAAGAATGAATCTGAATGCTTTGACTTTAGGGTTCCTGTTGTTTGCAAACTATACTTGTGGCGTTGCCTTTGCGATAATAAAGCATACTGTTAGATACCAAAGTGGCGGTAGTTTAAAACACAAGAGACACGACTTTATAACTTTGGAAAGTTCTGACAACAGTAGTGAATTCTCTGTAGAAGTAGCTGCTTGAAGGAGAAATGTAAGTAGTAAGTGGTTGAGTAGAGAGTGACATCTTTATTAAATTAATTTGTTCAGTATTTGAATTGTCTGTATTTTAACTATATGGTAAGTGGTGAACTGATGGTGAGCAACAATCTGTGCCTGTGTTCAGAGCCGAAGCACCATGGAGGATTATGGGTCTTCAGTGGCCACCAGAGGTCTTCTTCACTCCAACTCTCAACACGTTTCTGTTGGATTTAGACCACTTCACAAACCCAGCTGGCTGCTAGTCAGCAAGAAGGTAAGACACATCTATTAACATGTGATTTTAGTTATTTTAGTTAAAGGTTCAGTGTGTAAGATTTAGGTGAAAGGGAACTATTGGCAGAAATTGAATGTAGAATAATCCTCATGATGTTTTCACTAGTTCATTTTATCTAAATTGTATGAATTGTAGTTTTCTTTACCCAAGAAAAGGCCATTTATATTTAAATACTTTATATTTACATCGAGGGGACCCTCTCTATGGAGGCTGCCATGTTTTTTACATTAGTCCAGACTGGACAAACTAAACACCTTTTGAGTTTTTTTGACAACTGAAGCTACCACAGGTTCCTTTTCATGTTTGGAAGGAGAGGGTGAGGTGAGAGGTGTTCAGCTGCAACATGCAACTTCACCACTAGATATCACTAAATTCTACACACTGTACATTTAGGATCATTGTTGTATACATCCAGTAAAAAAACAAAACAATGTCTTGCGCTGCAGTATTTGATCATAACTATTTTTGTTGATTTACTTGTAGAAATAGATTTTAAGAAAAAAATTTAAAGCAGGTGCCCCAATTATAAAGAAAACATGCTTAGTTTTTAATTGTATTATTTTAATATTGCTGCCTTTTTATGACCTGCAACAGCAAATGAGACAATCAGGGATAAAATATGCTTTTTCTATAAACTATTCTCAATTTTTGCAGTCATTACCACGATCAAAAAGAGACAGTTGATCGCAGTTGATCTGTTTCAAATGCATCCTATCTGAGTGACCTACAGAAGTAGACTTTAAATGTAGCAACTTCAATGAGACTGATGTTGTTCGTGTCAGCACCGGGAGAACTGCCTGGCTGCTCATTCCCTGTTCAGGAGCTTCTGTCTGACACCAGTCAGCCTGCAGACGGAGCTGCTGCCATACCTGGCCAAACTCACCAGTCCTATGAGGAACCAAGGTAACACACACACACTCGCCCACACAAACAATTTGCAATCTAAATCTGAAACAAGTTTTAACCCTCAAAACGGCCATCTTCACTTTCTAAAGATGTCCTCACTCCCAAGGTCTCAAGAGAGCTCTGTGTGTTTCTCAAAAAGATACACATGCAAATACGATACTGTTGAGAGTATATTATTTCCATGCTGCACAACAACATAGCTGTGTGTGAGGACAAAATGACTCAACAATGCATGGACCGATTTTTACCAAACTTGCGTGGGAATGTTACTTGGGAGGGTATCTCCAGATGAGTCAAGTCCAAGTCAACAGAAATATGGTTAAAAACACACTTTCCAAGATATCTCTGAAAATAGAGACAACCTGTAGCTTATATTGATCAGAATATCATGATAACATTATGAAATGGCATTTTTACTTATTGAAAAAAAGTTAGCATTGCCTGATCAGCCACTGCAAAGCCTCCTATCTCAAATTGTGCAAAAAAAACTTGTTGTACTGTATTGTGAGTGACCTTTGACATTAATTTTGTGATTTTGCTGTCATGTTGCCAGTACTGTAAAAACACTGCGCAGACATCATGTGTTGCTGAAGAGTGTCATGTTGTGACCAATGAACAAAGTTGATTGAAGTCTATTTAATCCTTTTTTTTACTCTGTGCTGGCGACATCTAGTGGCCCGGAAGCATTATGCATTTGGATTGTCCATCCATCCATCCATCCCATTCTTGTAAATATAATAACTCAAGAATGCCTTGGGGGATTTTTGTCAAATTTGGATCAAAAGTTCAGTTTGAGTCACGAATAAACAGATTAGAATTTGGTCAAAGGTCACCTTAACCTCACAAAACCCTCTTGTTGCAAGAACGAGAATCCTTTAAAATAAAATTTTTACATTACATTTAATTTAGCGGACACTTTTATCCAAAGTGACTTACAATAAGTGCATTCAACCATGAGCATACAAACCCAGAACAGCAACATTTTTTTTGATAAATGTAAACACCAGAGTTGACGATGATTATTAGATATCATCTTCTTAACCAAGGTGTATTCGGAAGAGATGTGTCTTTAGTCTGCAGCGAAAGATGTTTCGATTTTCTGCTGTCCTGGTGTCAATGGGGAGCTGGTTCCAACATTTAGGAGACAGGAAAGCAAACAGTAATTTTGTTGAGTGGTTGGGGTCCCTCGCACTGAGGGAGCAGCAAGCCGATTGACTGAACTTTCTTGAAGTCCTCATAGGCATCTTCTACAGGAATGGCACTGCTGTTTTCATGAAGAGAAATTTGGAGGTTTTTGTGTTATGCAGTCATTTGTGTTTACACATACACCTCCTCTAGAGAAACTGCAAACTCTCCAAAGTTTAGTGCATGTCAGAAAGAAGCAATAATGTACGACTTGATAGACCGATATAGATTCTTTGAAATATTTTTCTATTCTTTGGTTAAATAACCTGCTGACTTCATTATGTTTCCTCCATCTGAAAGACTGCACCATTGATTGTTAATCCATGGGTATCCATAGTAATATAGTTACCTTAGGTAGAGTGGCTAGCTCACAGTGAGGGAGCAGCGAGCCGATTGGCGGATGAAGAGTGGAATGGATGGGCTGGGGTGCAAGGTTTGACCATGTCTTGGATGTAGGCTGGACCTAATCTGTTCACAGCACGGGACGCAAGTACAAGTGTTTTGAAACAGATGAGAGCAGCCACTGGTAACCAGTGAAGGGAGCGGAGGAGTGTGAGGGAAATATGGCACAAATGTTCGACTAATTGATTCCATTTAGGTGGTCAAAGGTCACAGGGGGTTCACAAAACATGTTTTTTTCATGAACATCAAATGTGCTTTTAGGGAATTTCTTCAAATTTTGACAAGTTGTCACATGGACTCAAAGATGAACTCACCATTGAAACTTAACTTAAGGTAAAGGTCACAGTGACCCTGTAAGTCTGGAGACAGACGACAAACAACAACAGAACTGTTGAAAGAGTCTTCCAGTTCATGAACCTTTACTAATCTTTGTGTTCTGTGATACACTGTTTCCCTCAGCTCAGATAGCATTTATCCAGGACGTGGGTCAGATGTCACTGAGGAGCTTCTCTATCAGGTACAACACATTTTATCTTCACATAATCCAATTGGATTCAAGAAAAGTTACCATGACCCTAGAGTCTGCATTGCCAAAGATCTGACCAGCCTGTATAGCATTAGTCTGTAATTTCCTGCTTACAGTGGAGAGTAGTGGAATATATGAAGAGCTGGAATCAAAACAGTGACAGGAACATTACGCAGTGTTGTCCTGAACCAGCATCTTATAATTCCATCACCTAATATATATTATTGACTATTATTGGGGCTGATCAGTCTGTCTGTAATAATTCAATTTCCATATTACCAGAGCAGAACTTGAAAACCATTTTGAATTACCTCATGAAACTTTGCAATTATGTGGCACCTTTTGATATTTTGAGTTTCATTAAAGAAATATTCTGACTTCATCTAACAGTGACAGATCTACTATTTCAAGGTTTGCTCTAATGAACCTTGATAGGAGTGTGCAATATCACCTAAAAACAATATCACTAATAATTACTGTTGTGGAAAATCTGCTGATCAATGGTCACCTCATCAATGAAGAAAGCATTCAGGAGCCCTTTGATGTCTTATGCTGAAATATTTATTGACGCTTGGCCAAGGAGAACATCAGAATTCATCCATACAACATCTGTGCATGATGCTCTCTCATATTCTGAAGTCTGCTTTCCTGCAGTCACACTTTAAACCCCAACAGATCATTTAATCTATGGGTGTGCTTGTTCCTAAACAATCAAATGTATTTACTAGTTATGGAGACAGTATTGCCTGCTTACGCAGTCTCATATCTGTGACGTCTAGGGAGTGAAGGCTTTGACCTTTGGCAGCTCTAGCACTTCCCAAACACAACAGCCTGTTGCACTCTGCCCCAGAGAGGACAAGAGACAGTGTCTATGAAAATTCCATAACAATTACCATATTTACATCTGTACCAAATGATAATTTACATCTTCCTAAATAATTATCTGTCCTCACAGTGAAGCTCTTATTAATTCTTTATCCCAAAATTAAACAAAGTTATGTTTTAAGACTCATTTTTATTTATTTAAAGTGCTTTCTATTTAAGAACTTTTTAGTACAAATTTAACTAAAATATTATTTACTTTAAAAGTGTTAATTATCAAAAATAATTATCATGCTTTAAATATATCTTAATAATACTTGTATGGATTATTACATTATTTTAACAAATTTATTATAAACATTCCTTAGTGAGACCTCCACTCTGAGGGCGGCTAAAGTGTGTGCAGTCAGTGCTGACATAACAGGAAATTAACCCACATAGCAAACTGAGTTATTTAGGCCTGTGGAGTTTCTGAACAGGTAGGTGGCACTATGTATCACATAATGAATTTGCTCTCCATCTAAACATCTGCACCACTGATTGTTAATCCATGGGTATCCATAGTAATATAGTTACCTTAGGCACAAATGATGTTGACATGTCATGAAAATATACTTTATTCAGTCTCAGCTATGTAGCTTTCTATGTTACTGGTGTAAATTGTATTAGATCATACCTTTTATACTTTGCCTTTATTTCTCTAATTGATTTTGTGTTGTCCGTATCAAGATTAAAACTGGAGGCTCTGACAGATAAAGAGCCAGGACAGCTGGAAACAGATGGTGAGGAGGAGCAGGAGGAAAAAGAGGTAGTCCATGGTGGAACTGAGGATGGTTTGCCAGCCAGTCAGCCTCAACCTACTACAAGTCAAGTTCTTTTGGAGGAGGAGGGCTTGAACATCGAGGAATATGACAGTGACTGACACAGACAGCTCCACCATACATCCACTGTCATACTGTGACACAATTTCACTTTTCCTTTGTCCAGTTTGTATTTTTTAGTAAGTGTTTAGCCTGGAGGAAGTTAAGGCCACGTGAAATAATACTATGAGTACATATGAGATGTGATGTAATATGTTCAAAATAAGTTTCCAAACGGGATCGTTGTCTTGTAAAGTCTGAATTGAATGGGATCCTGTATCTTGTCACATATTGAAATCATACAGATTAAGTATAATAATCTTCCAAAGTGACCTTTACCAGTTCAGTTCTAGCAGCTAAAAAATCATCAGTATTTATTAGTTCTAAGTGTGCGTTCAGCATTTGTTGTTTTTGTAAATTGCATCTTTTTGTTTTGATGAGTGATTGTTGAGCCTGGAGCATTCTGTCCAGGCTCAAACCCCAGCTGAAACTGAAATCCTTGTTTCACTTTTTCTTGATGGTGGAAAATAAGAAATATTACAATAATGCTTATTGAGGGATATATTGTTTGAATCTCAATAAGACTGTGAATAAAAACAATGTTCGAGAAGCTTATCATTCATCTTGAACACAATGTTTTTATACCCTCCTTTCACACACCCTCTCATTCAATATTTACACAGCAATTTTACATGAAGCTCCTTTAAATAATCCCTGTGGTGATGGTGACTCACTCTCACTCACCCACAGCTGTAAATCTATGAAGTGCTTCCAGTTTAAACTAAAGTAATGGAATGATTCTTACATACGTACCTAAATGATTGGATAATGCTTCTATAAATACTTATTACTAACAAACTATTACTTAAGTAAACGTGGTTCCAATACCACATGATGTACTATTTGTAATTAACATTTTTATTGTAAAAGTTTGACTGAAATATCTATTTCATTCTTATTAATGCGTTTTACACCATACACTATTTTCTTTCACAGGTTAAATGGGATTTTTGTGAAGATGGATACGTTCCTCGAACTTGTTTATTTTGAAGGTAACGACCGGAAGTAGTTGCAGGTGTCGCTCTGTGCTGACACTGAAGGTGAAGTGAACAGTGGATGTCGTAATGCTGGACTGTGAAATAGTCGTTTCTCCGACTTCGCAGTTAACTTGTAGTTACTTACCTTAAATTAAGTCTGGTTCGGTGGAGACTCGATCGCACCGGGGAACATCACTGCTGTAAATACAGGTAAGAGGAATCAGACTTATTAGACTAATTAAATAAAAACCAAGGTAGGCGAGACATCTTTTACTCATGATGAAATACTGCAGCGCAAGACACTCGCACTGAATAGTAATTGGTTTGTATTTATATAGCACTTATCTAGACTTGATGACCACTTAAAGCGCTTGACAGTACAGCGTGTGTCATTCGCCCATTCACACGCATTCATACAATGCATCTCTCTTTCACACATCTCTTTGTCATGCACGCATCACTCACACTCTCAAAGACAACAGGGGCAATCTGCATCTTGCCCAAGGTGCATCGGACTGGCGTCGAACCGCCGACCCCCTGGATAGTGACCAACCATATTATGCACTAAATATTAAGTACATGATAGACACAAAGTCAGAAAGCTGAGTCTCATAATTTTACAGTCAGTTGAAGTTTCAAATATACTTTCATTTATAATTAGCATGATGAAGCAACAGAGACGTTGAGGCTGCCTCATAAAGATTCACACCCAATGAGTGGGCAGGAAACAGTGGTACAATATCATTACATCTATGAGAAAATTCTGTATATTTGTAAACCACACACTTAATTCTGCTCAGTGTTTGACAAATAAACTTGTTCAGGACATTATATGTGTATAAGTATTTTAACAAAATGTTCATCTTTTGCCACATGATTGAAAAAACCTATAGCTCTGGTAAACCGCAACCTGGACAATGGTATTCATTTTCAGCTCTTGTAGTAGGTACTGAGTACATTTACCCATAAGACACAATTTTAATGTTAAATGCAAACCTATTTGGAATAATGTCAGTACTGAGCACTGAGATTTATCCAAATGTGAACTGGAAGCTAAATATGGAACAAATGGTTTGATTTATGTGTGCTGTGAGCAATTTAGATATTTCCACATGCAAAGGATGCTTAAAATAAAACAAAAATGACAAATCATGTAATTAATACAAATAAAACTGTTTTAGAGATAGTCCTGGGTGGCCTTGATGAGTCATATCATGGACTGAAGTAGGTTTAAAGGTCCAGTGTGTAAGATTTAGGTGATGATGAACTATTGGCAGAAATTTAATGTAAAATAATCCTCATGATGTTTTCACTAGTTCGTTTCATCTAAATTGTATGAATTGCAGTTTTCTTTACCCCAGAAAAGGCTCTTTATATTTAAATACTTTATATTTACATCAAGGGGACCATCTCTACGGAGGCCGCCATGTTTTTTACATTAGTCCAGACTGGACAAACTAAACACCTTTTGAGTTTTTATGACAACTGAAGGCTACCACAGTTTTTTTTTCATGTTTGGAAGGAGAGGGTGAGGTGAGGGGTGTTCAGCTGCAACATGCAATTTCAACACTAGCTTTGACTAAATTATACACACTATACCTTTAAATATTTTGTGTGTGTTTTAAATCAACCGCTAATGTTTGAGAAATCACTATATTGTTTTGCAGGTTTAACAAATCCAGGTTAAGTTTGACCTGGTTCAAATGGAGGTCAGTCAGGTCTTCAACCTGGATGATGACATGGTGGATGGAGACCTGGGTGATGGATTGGGTGTCAGAGCATCATCAGGCTCCACAAGTAAGAAGAGCCAAAGTTCCGCTGCTCTCTCAGAGATCCTGCTGCCCCAAGCAGAGCTTCTCCGGTGCAGCAGTCAGGCAGGAGTGACAGCTTGGATTGCTGGAAAGAGATATCAGGGATCATACTGGAGGGTGCCACTCAGTGGTAAGAATGTCGTGTGTGTGTTTGTGCTGAACTGCCCGGTGCAAGTGCCAGTGGACATAACAATAGCAGACAGTGGGTTTCAGAAATGAAAAGCTGGACCAAACATGATCTGTTTGAAAAAGCTAACAGTTCTCCATGATTGCCTTGCAGCACAAATATGAGGGCTGCTAAGCTGCTCCTCTCAAGCCTATAGCAGCTAAGTTAAGGAGACAAGTGACCCATGAGTCAATTCATGAGCAAAGCTCACAGGGGCATTAGAAGCAATACCAGAGGGTCAAAGTTACTGGCTGACAGAGCAATCACCAAGACGAGCCAAATCACCACACAAGGCCTACATTTAATCGATAGCCTTAATCAAGAAAACATCAGTGCTAGCCATATCACCAAGTCACTCTCATGTGCTGCATATAACAAGGTGATGCACTTACCCTGCAGCTGCAAAGGCCTGAACCCCCTCAGCCTGATCATAACAGAGTAGATATAGAAACAGATTCAGAAGGGGAGTAACCATCAGCTGCACTTGCTATACATGGATGACATCAAGGTGTTTGCCAGGAGTGAACAAGAACTCATTGATCCACCTCCTCAGGATCTACAGCAAGGACATTGGAATGTCATTCAGACTAGATAAGTGTGGCTGTAGGTTGGCAGAGAGGGAAGGAGATCAGTCCAGCACCCTGAGACTCTGCAACCAAAGAAAAAGGGAGGGAGAGTAAATATTGGACCCATTTTTCACAAACCCTATATCTTCCCAAAATTATCACAGCCAAAAAAATGTACACTGACAATTCAGGAAAAACTTTGTTTGTTGAATGTATGTCTTTGTGTCTGTTCCAGCAACACACTCTTATTAGATCTGGCACGAGATCTCAGTACAGCACTGGATAAGTTTGAATAGCAAAATCTACATTATAGAGCAGCTTAGCTGTTGCTTACAAAGGTTCAATTAACTTGAACCTTTGGTGCAGTGCTGGACACTCCAGTGCAGGACCGTCACATCAGACCACATATAGAATAATGGAGGTGGCATATGCAGATTTTTCCAATTAAGTGAGCAACTTAGTGTATTCCACACACACACACACACACACACACACACACACACACACACACACACTCTGCCCTCTGCTAGACGGTATTTTCTGTGTATATTTTATTTAAGAGTATTCTGTGAATCAATAGGCTCCCTTGATGACCTGTCCAAAGCTGAGCTGACAGACAGAATACTGGAAGCAAGTGAGGTAGGAAAAGGGAAGAAAAACAGGAAAAGCTACAATTCTTTTTGTCCTCTTGACTCCATGACACCAAACTGTAACTGATGCTCCCGCTCTGTTGACAGGTGATAGATGTCTTGTGCTGTGAGCTGGAGGTGGCACATCGTTACCTGGAAGGCAAATATCAAGCTCTCAAGATATTACAAGGAAAGGTAAAACAACACATACCGAAGTACTTCAGCACTACATCTTATTACACCTCACTGTTCTGTAGTTCAGGAGAAAGGCCATCCAGAACAAATATATCCATTATAAATGCTGCTTAGCAGGCCTCATTCTGCTGGATTTTTTTGACCTTGCTATTTTACCACAGGTAATTTCCCTCAAACTCACTCAGTTCTTATGTTTTCTTCTGTCAACTGTTAGAAGGGAAAAAGACAAAATGTAAAACTAAAAATACTGCTAAGAAAATTAATTAATAAAAGACCAAATCCAGCAGTGTGTCTCTCACTACTGTCTGGCCCCTCTTTCCTTTCTGTAGCTCCCACAAACCCACTGGTTTCTACTGAAGCTGTAATTTATTTTAATCAGACAGGGATTTTTAAAACAGCTGGTCACTGTAACACATGTTACTGGAACATTACATTACATTTCATTTAGCTGATGCTTTTATCCAAAGCAACTTACAATAAGTGCATCAACCATGAGGATACAAACTCAGAACAACAAGAATCAAGTAAGTGCATTTGCCTTCAAAAAAGCCAAACTACAAGTGCTACATGTAAGTGCAATATAAAAGAGCAAACTAAACTTAA